CCCCCCCCCCCGGATGTCAGCCTGGATTTAAAGAGTCGCTTGACCCGGACTAATCAGGTCGGTAGTTTCAATGCGAGCTTGGCGTAGCCAATCCCTGAGGTTTCTGGTCCTTTCCATTAAATTCGAGGCGCTTCTCTCGACCGTACCAACGCTGGTGGTAAAGCCGCTATTAGGGCCGTACTGGGCGATGATATTTTGAGTCGTGGTGGCGGGAGGTTGCGCGGTGGTTAATTGAGATAAGATGTTGGGCTGTATGTTGGGAGTACCAAAGGCACCTAAAAAATAAAAGAAACAGATATAATTAAGCCCCGTAATTCGTTAGAGGCAAAAAGAGATAATCGCCAAGTGACTAAAAAAAGAAATCCTTTACCATATCTACTTCTCCGTGCTTCTTTTTACTTGTGGAAAATAGAAAAATAGCAAATGCAATTTTATCGCGCGATTGATTAGAATTTGTACACAATCAATACCGGGTAATACTGTTTTGAAAGAGTTTTATGATATACAGAATGTCGCGGATTTACACCGGATCAATTATTAACGACGAATTCCTGAGGGCACTTGGAGACGAAGGACTAATATCGAAATATCGAAATTGCGATAGTTGATAGCGTTACTACCTCGTTAATGCATTCAAGAGTGTAAACTTTGGGCGACTTTATCGGATGACTCCAAGAGCAACTTTTCGTTTACTTTGATGTTTTGGGACTTTCTTTAAGTATTCTCGAGTAATAATATGTCGTTGACAGTTGGCTCGGCGAGTTTGAGGCACTCTTTCACGTTTGATTCGTAATAATAGAATAATATGTAAGTTATTAGACATAAGCTGTGTATTTTCTTTACCTTGTACGGTGTTAGGCTGCGCGGTGAGATGATGAAACCGTAACCATCGCAGATAAGAGTACATGAGAGCCGGTGTTGGAGGTATGTTGCTATCCTGGCGTTTATTCAAGACATCCCAGATTTCTCGTATTTCCGAGTTCAAATTTTCTAAGCTCGCGATGATTTCGGTGGACTCTTGGTAATGATCTGGCTTATCTAGATTTCCAACAACAGACTATACAATGTAACGCAAATTCATTGCTGATGTGACATTCGTACGTTGCGTTAAGTGTTTGTACGATTTACTTCCGTCCTAAGCTATTTTCGAAGAAAATTATACGATATCTCCGTTCGTCATAGAATTGAGGATAATTCGCGAACTTAAATACAAGAATAATTATGCGAGGTCTGTTTAAGAGGAAACACTTTGACACTTGTCTTACTTTACGCAAACGTTACTATTACATAAGAAGTTTATCTTGCCCTTGTGTGTCGTGTGCTTTTGATGCCTAAATTTTATTATATTGAGAAATAATTTGATCTTTTTTCGCGATTTTGTCTGCAACTCACCTACGAAAGTGTCAGTTCCCAAATCAGTCGAGCTGAAGCCGCTGCTGGCGCTAGACATGTCGCTCAATGTCAGTTCATCGTTTTTCGTGGAAGACGCGTCGTTTTCGTTTCGCTTGTCGTTCGCGACTCGCTCCAGAGACTGTTCCAAGTGTTTCAGGTGGATGACTTTCTCGCCCAGTAGGCTCCTGGTGCGATGCAAACTCACTTCCATGTCGGAGAGTTCGCGCTCTTCCTGGAAGAAAAACGAAAAAAAAAATCATTAGGTCGTATAGAAGAATTTATATATAGTTTATATGTAGAATTTATATATAGTTTATATATAGAAGAATTTATATATAGTTTATATATAGAAATTATTATATAGTTATTTAATTAAAAAAACCTTTGCACACACTCAAGTTTAATCAAGTTTATCAGAAAGCACAAACTCCTAAATGACGTTTTGCTCTTTCTAGACATCTTTATACGTCTAAAGCATTCTTTAGAAATGTATATTGTCTGGTTTATTATACTAAACGTAGTTCTGATTTTTCGCCAATGTAAAATTATGAGAAGTGAAAATCGAAGGGCGTCAACGTCATGACCATCAGACCATCGATCTCTTCTTTTCCGATATCGACGATACCTGCACCAGTTGTTCCAAAGTGGCCCTCGCGCTTCGCTGTTTCCAAGCTCTCTGCCTACCCTGAAAGGCACTTCTCTGTTGTCTGAGCGCCTCGCGAGCCCTCCTCACCGAGTCCCTCTCCACGTGAATCCGGTGACGGAAGAACTCTAGCTCCGAAGAGGCGTTCGCCGGCGCTGTAAGAGGTAGAGCACTGTTGCATTCGACTATTCGAGCGAAGGTCACGTGTAAGCCCGAGAGTCTCGCAAGCGTTAGAATTGTGTGAAGCCTCTGATGTCGAGAGTCGAGATGACGAGAGTGGGTGACGGGGAAGTGGGATACGTGAAGACAGCGTGCGAAAGCAAAAGAAAGAAACTGGATATGGTGCACTTACGAGCAAGTCGAAGAGTATAAGCCGTTAATCAAAGTAAAGTCTATACAGTCCTACGGCAAAAAGAAAGGAAATAATCAAACACATCCTTGTGACAATATTCGGTCGGTGGAAATAAGAAAAATACGCAGTAGATGGGAATCACATCGCGCAAATCCGACTTAGAGACACCATGGATCAAACCCCGGCTGTTCGACGAGTTATTTACACACTTATAAGAGAAAGGCAATAATTAACTATATACTACTGTACGTGTGTATAATTAAGTACACAGAGAGGAGCTCGACGGAATCGATCGATCGGTGACAATAGCAATTAAACATGACGATAAAAGAAATAAAGGCAAAAAAAATGTAACAATGTATAATCAAATACCAAGGATATCACATCAAAGTACACTCGTGTGTATTTACAATTGTAAAATTATATTGTTAAATATACACGAAAATAGGCAAACCTCCTTATTCACAGCCCTTTTTAATATCGTAAAATGCGCCAATTTCGTTGCACTGGGATGTACAAACGAGCACGATAACGCGAACTCCTACTATCAAAGTTCCGATACATCCATCTAAGAAAGAAAAATAGGAAAGAGAGAGACAAAAAAAGAAAGAGAAAGAGAGAAAGAGAGAGAGGAAAGAATTTGTACGGTCCGCGCGCGTGAAAAAACATAATAAATCCTCGTTTTCGATCTGAACTGTATATTGCGCATTCTCCGAGAAAAGAAGAACCTTTTGTTTATCGAGTCTTTAAACCCGATCTGATTCAACCCGACCCGACCTGACCTGGTTTTGAATCCCGATCTTAAACCTTTGGAGACCCCGCGACGGTCACACAACCGTATATCCCTCCCATTTGTCGTTAAAAATGAAGATAGATCATGATCTGTCACGTGGTAGCTTTAAGACAATCACCTTTATCTTGGAAAGGATATCGCACTGTATAGGCCGTTTCGTTGCTCGGCAGTTGATCGCCGAGGTCCTCCAGCTTCTTCAACTGCTTCCGTATGTTCTCCACGGGGTTCTCCAGATTGTTGTTGTTGCCGCTGGCCGCGCTCGAGCGAGCTGCGGTCGCCGCGGCCTTCTTGGTGAAGCTCTTCCTCTTCTTCATCATCATCATGTTGGTGTTCGTCTCACTGGCGGTGGTGGTGTCGTCGGACTCAAATTTTGCCGCGTTCTTCGAGCCAACAGCGCCGGATGAGACGGCGGCGGCGGGAGGAGCGGCGGCGGCGGCGGCGGCGACGGCAGCGGCGACGGCGGCGGTGGCGGCTGTGGAAGAGGCGGCGGGTTTCTGAAACCCCGCCGCCGCCTTCAGACTCCTCGAATTGCTGTCCGGATCGTTTTGCTCTTCGGCCTGCTCGCTCGCGCACTGGCCCTCCTGCGATTTCGCGTTTGTTACCGGGCTCGAACGCGCGTTCCTCAGCGGAGTACTGCTGGAGCACGATTTAAGGCCTATAGCCAGACATTAGGGCGAATCGCATGAACATGACGGAGTACCTTCACAGTACGCTCGTGACCTCGACCGGGGGACGACACGCTACGTCGTGTACGCGCCGCTCGACCAACTGGGACCGACGATCGTAGACTGCGAAGGTACTAATGAGAATGATATCGAGAATGGACGTGCAACATTCACACTATGGTGTGCCACGAACTAGCGAGAATTCTAACGTCTCGAGCATAATTATGCCTGCTGAGAATTTGAGGTATCTCCTGCAATAATAAGCTGGCCAGCATCCAGTTTGTCAGCTGAACGGACTTCCAATCTGTCGTCTATACTCCGACGCTAAATGTCGCGAGACCAAAAAGTCTCGCTAATTATCGCCAGGAAGGTCAAAGAAGGTGGTGATCACATCAAGAGAGAAAAAGGAGTATATTAATGAGATGTAACGTGAGAAATGTCATGCTCGTGTGCGCTATACGCCGGGCGTGCGTATACTAAGAATCAGAGACCGGTTATTTGCATTCATTCGTTAATCCGTGTTAATCACGAACAAAATCACCAGGAAACGTTATATCTCGATATTATATAGCGGGTACTCGTGCACTCGCGCCGAAGCAGACTAGCCCTGATGAATCTGAGATATATAAAGAGTAATTCCCATTTAATATAATCGTATCGTTTAACTTTAATCTCTTCATCTATCTATTATCTTCCATTAAGTCAGTGATACGAGAGAGAGAGAGAGAGAGAGAGAGAGAGAGAGAGGAGAGAGAGGAGAGAGAGAGAGAGAGAGAGCGAGAGAGAGAGAGAGAGAGAGCGAGAGAGAGAGAGAGAGAGAGCGAGAGAGAGAGAGAGAGAGAGCGAGAGAGAGAGAGAGAGAGAGCGAGAGAGAGAGAGAGAGAGAGCGAGAGAGAGAGAGAGAGAGAGCGAGAGAGAGAGAGAGAGAGAGCGAGAGAGAGAGAGAGAGAGAGCGAGAGAGAGAGAGAGAGAGAGCGAGAGAGAGAGAGAGAGAGAGCGAGAGAGAGAGAGAGAGAGAGCGAGAGAGAGAGAGAGAGAGAGCGAGAGAGAGAGAGAGAGAGAGCGAGAGAGAGAGAGAGAGAGAGCGAGAGAGAGAGAGAGAGAGAGCGAGAGAGAGAGAGAGAGAGAGCGAGAGAGAGAGAGAGAGAGAGCGAGAGAGAGAGAGAGAGAGAGCGAGAGAGAGAGAGAGAGAGAGCGAGAGAGAGAGAGAGAGAGAGCGAGAGAGAGAGAGAGAGAGAGCGAGAGAGAGAGAGAGAGAGAGCGAGAGAGAGAGAGAGAGAGAGCGAGAGAGAGAGAGAGAGAGAGCGAGAGAGAGAGAGAGAGAGAGCGAGAGAGAGAGAGAGAGAGAGCGAGAGAGAGAGAGAGAGAGAGCGAGAGAGAGAGAGAGAGAGAGCGAGAGAGAGAGAGAGAGAGAGCGAGAGAGAGAGAGAGAGAGAGCGAGAGAGAGAGAGAGAGAGAGCGAGAGAGAGAGAGAGAGAGAGCGAGAGAGAGAGAGAGAGAGAGCGAGAGAGAGAGAGAGAGAGAGCGAGAGAGAGAGAGAGAGAGAGCGAGAGAGAGAGAGAGAGAGAGCGAGAGAGAGAGAGAGAGAGAGCGAGAGAGAGAGAGAGAGAGAGCGAGAGAGAGAGAGAGAGAGAGCGAGAGAGAGAGAGAGAGAGAGCGAGAGAGAGAGAGAGAGAGAGCGAGAGAGAGAGAGAGAGAGAGCGAGAGAGAGAGAGAGAGAGAGAGAGAGAGAGAGAGAGAGAGAATCACGTGCACTGAGTCAGAAGAGAGTTCGTGGATTGTTCGATTACGATATATCGCTCTCTTCTTTCGGAATTCAGTTGGTCTGCTTCGGCGAGTGCTCCAAGATACGTCGAATCGTAAGTGATCGACGACACGCTTGTGATGAGAGAACTCACTTTTGTTCCGACGACTCGGTCCTCTCCGTTCTGGTCCGGGTAGATGCCGATCTCTCGGTTTCCGAGGCCGTGGTATAACCCTCCTTCCTTCTGCTTCTCCTCTCGACCGCGAGGCGAACGTCGTTCTTCAGCTTCATGTATTTTTCCTTGAGCGCCGTGTACTTATCCTGCAGCAGTCTTTTCTCGCAGCGCATCCTCTCAAAGTCAATACTATCTTGCTGAATGGCTCGCTCGGCCTGCTTCCTTGTCTCCTTCTCGGCGTCCCGCGCGAAATCCGCGCGAATCTCCTCCAATCGCTCCTTGTACATTTTGCGAGCGAGAGCCTCCTGAAGTCACAACAGACGGATTAGTTACTGTGATAGATTTAAAAGAAAATGTAATGAGCTATGATAATTCCATTTGTTGCCAAATTTTAATGTTGACAACAGAACTGTAAGATATTGGGTTATCACACTTGCTAATTAACTCATTTGCACCAATAAGCAATTTAAAAATATTTAATGAAACGAATTTAGAATCTTGTGATTCGGTCTAACCTCGGCAGAACGCGGATATATTCGCTTCCGTGATAATTAACGTTTTGAAATTTATATAATCAATTGCAAATTATGTTTGTTATACCGAAGAAATAATTTCCTGTACAAATGAATAATTATAAATAAATAATAACCAAGTAAATTAATATATTCACTTCTGATGCAGATGGGTTAATACTCGCATCGAATACTCACGTCCATTCTGAAGTCGCGGAGGATTTCGGCTAGGCACTGCTCGTGATCTTCGGTGAATTTGGTGATCTTTTCCCGTTGCTGCATTCTTAGTTCATTGCGCAAGTCTTCCAGTTCCTTGTCCAGTTCCTTCTTCATCGTCTCAATCTTCTCAGAGTGCTGTTTCTTCAACTCGTACTCGTTCAGCTTTGCGAGTTTCTCCTCGCCGAGGTCGCGTTCGTGCTCGTTTTCCAACTTGCCCATCTCCTGATTTCGCAGCTCCAGAAGCTCTCTCTTCCTCTCGTCGAGTTCCGTCTTCAGGTTGGACAATATCTCTTGACGCTCTTTCTCGTAACAGACTTCCAGTTCCGCGCGAACCTTCTTCAAATTTTCTATTCTAGCTTCGTCCATTTCGGTAATCAACGCTTGAATCTCCTGTTCTTCCTGTAAAACGGCGTGCGACAGGCTCTTGAAACAATCTATTTCAAATCTCGCTTTAGATCTACGAAACGACTATCTTATAAATATATTTTTATTAAAAATTTTTATAACGAGTATCTTATAAATATATTTTTATTAAAAATACACTTATATAAAGAACCGCGTATTTCACAATCTCGGATAGTGATTAATGTTGAAATATTTAAAGCGTTTGTAAAACTCGCTCTGTAAAATTAGATACAGGGAGCTGATAATGAAATATGCAAATCTAGCGGAAAAATAGACTTGAGGAAAATATATTATATATAAATATTAAAAATATATATTAAAAATCTCGATAAAATAACATCTTTTCTGATAAAACTAGTACAATTTGCATTACATGTCGAGAGAGAGTAATTCGACATTATAAAAATCCAATTACCTTCTGCGTCATTTCCTGCTTAACTTCCTCTAGCCTCTGGTTCCAGAACTGTTGCAGCAGAATCTTCTGCTGCACGAAGTTCTCCTCGAGCTCCTTCTTCCTCTCCTGTAGCTTTACCTCGAGCTCAATCTTGAAAGCCTCGACCTCCTTCTCGTGCTCCCGGTTCATCTTCATCTTCATGTCGTCAATGCTGCGCGAGTACTCCAGTTTGGGTCGTACGAACCGCTCCTTCTTCGCGGTCACGTAATCCTGATTGATCTTGGACACGTCCGACGACTCGTCGTCTTCAAGTTGTCGATTTGACAGACGGTTGGCCGCGCGTCTCGCTCTCTCGACGATGGACCTCGTGCGGCGCGTCTCCTCGGAGTCGCTGCTCTTCGCGACGCTGTCGCTCTCGCTCTTCGACACTAGGTCGATGTTCTTCACCTTCTCGAACTTGCTTGGCAGATAATCGAGACTGTTATCTCTCTCCAAATTGTCCCTCGTCATCTGGCTGCGGTGCTCGTTCTCCGAAACGTTCTGCACGAGGAACCGTCTGCCGACTATCTTTGCGTTCTTCGACACGGTTTCGATCTTCTCCAATGACAAACGCCGTCTGCCAACTTCCAACTCTGCCTTGTCCTTTTGTCCCTTCTCGTTGGAATAGTTGTCCTTCTTAGTATCGTCGTTGTTGTCGTCCTCCAGGCTGGGCGGGCTTGGCTTCAACGGCGACAGAATGGAGCCAGTGATTTTATTGCTTATCACTGCCGATATCCGGAGATTTTGATCATCCGACTCGGACTCCCAGTCGTCCTCGGACTCAGAGTACGTGAACTTGATGTCAATCTCCTTCTCCAAGTCGAAACGTACGCTCTTGCGCTCTTCGTCCAATGGTCTGTCGTCTATCCACAATCGAAGCAAAATTCTTTAAGTTCTTCACTCCAACTTGTCGATTCGTTAGGAATTTACGAGATCTCGGATGTAGTCGCGATAAATTTGCAAACATATTGCGCGGACAAGCTCGTCCTTGCGAAATCACCGCGAGATATGCATGACTCTACACGCTAAACTTACCGTCTTCCAATTGCTTCTCCCTCAGGATAGACTTGGGTCGGTCGCCGATGATGGCGTTGTTGCTTTCATCAGAAACGGTCAACGCACGGAAATCCTCCAGTTTACCACCATCCTGGCTGGGTGTGGTGTCCCTGCTCCTGTTGCTCTTCAGAAACATCGATCCCCCGCCGCTGAGGGTCAGCTCCTTCTGTTGACCCAACTGGCTCGGGTGCTTCTCCTTGTCGAACTTCTCCAGCCTCTCCGGTCGAGCGAGCGTGCTGGCGCTGAGCTTATCGATGTCGATGATGTTCTCCTCGGAGCTGAACTTGCTGGACAGCTGTTCCCAGTCCTTCTCGTGCCACGGGCTCAGTGACTCCGATCTCTTCAGCACCTCCTTTAGATCGAGCTCCTTTTTCGTGGGCGTCGCGCTTGTCGTAGTCGTGGTCGTGCTCGTCGTCGTGGTCGACGTGCCCGTCGTTTCCAGCAGCTTTGGGCACTCGTAGAACCGCGGATCCTGGAATCTCAGGTTGGTATAGTCCCTGGAAGTCCGATCGCTCGACATGGATATCAAGTCGGATTTGGAGTCGCTCTCTCGTCTGGACTGGAGTCTGTCGAAGGACGAGGGTCGCTCCCTCTTTCGAACCGAAGAACCGTTAGGCTTCTCGACCTTCCTCAGAGGCGCCAGCTTCATGGGAATCTTGGTGCCTGCTATGGCGGGCTTGGGATGGCTGGTGGTCTCTTTAGAAGTGGTACTGGAAGTAGTGGTGGTGGTGGTGGTGATGGTGGTGGTTGTGATGGTGGTTTCCTTGGGGACGGCGGTCTCCTTCGGGATGATGGTCTCCTTCGGCAAGGTCGCCTCCTCATGAGATTCGAGATCCTTCGCCGTGGTCTTGGAATCTTCCTCTGCGGCATCGAGAATACTTCAGTTTTTGCCCCGTTGGTCTATTTTCCTAACTTCTCATAGTTTTTATTAGCATTTACGAATTTCGCGTCGGGTGTATCCAAATGGAAAAAAATTGACGTGCCGGTGTAAACAAGAGGTACGCCGCGGAGAAATGACAGAGTTTACGCAGAGTTATATAAAAATAACACGGAGAGAAAATTCCTCTCGTACAAAATAAACCAGGAGACACTGCTTGTCCGTCGTGAATGTCGCGCGCGATCGTGTCTCTCGATCGAAGTCTCGCTCGCGAAACGTGAGAAGAAACTGTGCACCTCTCAACGTCGGCGACGTCCGATTACGTAAACAACTGAAACGTGCGTTCCGGGCTAATTTGTGTGATTATCACAAAAAATGAAGAATAGTAGTAGTAGTTCCAAGTAGACGCCTCAGGGTCTGAAAGCTGTTACTCATTTATGTAACGTCTACAAACTGCACAACATTGACATTGAATACCGAGAGATCGGAATGTCGGAGTGAGCCAATTTAGTTGATCCCGAAAGTCGTGCGAGTGCACAAATGAGTCGCAAGACGGGCGAAACGGGAGAAAAATATCTCGTTGACAAAAAGAGATGTACTCACGAATAATGGAACTTGGCCGTTTTACGAGGTTAACGTGGTCGTGATATCGCGATTACAGAATGCGAGTATTTCGCGAAAATTGAATACTTTCCGTTCTTATGTTACGTCTCTGAGATAATCCACGTGTTATATTGTAGTGCGTGAAAAAGTCGACTGATACGACACACGTCATCCCGTTACATCTTCTCGAGTTCATCGTATCTTTCAATTTCTCATTATCGCGAATGTTTTCGTGTGAAACGTGTTTACCAACTCGCGATAAGCACCTAAATGATAATCTCCGAGATATTTCGAGTGCTGAATTCACACATTTTTTCACATTTACCCGCATTCACCTCGATCTCCCTATTGAGTTGTTTAATCAAGAAAACATATAGAGTTTGATAAATTTCCTGATCTAATGTATCGCGAGATGTTAAAATATACTCAAGGTATCTAATAATTCATGATATACCCGTTCTAGGTTAGTAGAACTCATCAAACTGAACACGAAATTTCACTATCATTTTACAAATGACATAGATTTTCATATCAACATTGATTATAAAAGATTGGTGCATTGCCACGTAAAATCGCGCAGCAATCTTCTAATAAATAACTAAAAATTTATGCGACTGTTTGCAAAATGATAGAGAACTCTTTTTGTTCAATTTCATCTAATATACATTCGTGGTTGGAAAGTTTGCCTTTTTTGCAAGTTGACAATGGGTGTGTCACGAATGCTCATCCTGCCTTATAATTAAATGATCATCGTAAACACATGAAAGTGTTTATTCCTATACCGTGACTCATAGCCGCAGCCGCAAAGTGTATGTTTAAAAATCGAATCTACCGTTGGAATATATGCGACAGAAATTCTTTTTCTCTAAAGGGAAATATGTATTGCGAAATATAAGACATATTGCGAAATATATCGTAAAATAACAACTGACTAAAGTACAAAAAGAAAAAGTAAATAAAAATAAAAATTGCAGAACGGCCTCGACTATTCGTACTGTCTGTCTTGCGGAGAACTTCGTGGAACGGAGCTTCAAGCGCGAGAGGGGAACTTCTCATCATTTTACCCCCATTTGTGACGTTTCCCGCGCGCGAGTCCTCCTGTAAATCGAGAAGCATTAGCACTCTCGCGGTAACGGCGGAGCAGCGCGTGATACTTTGCGGAAGGATCTAAAAATACGGGCGCGCCTCTCGCGCAGTTTGACGGAAAGCCAGAGGTGCATATCATGTGCAATGCCAAGTCGCACGATACTTGCCGATCCATTACCGCGTGGCGTCCCGATGACGCGCGCGAAACAACGTCGGGCGTGTTAGACGGCGAGCGTGCGACACGCGCGATTAACGGCGCGGGCGCGACTCTCGCGAATTAAATTACTTGAGCACTCGGCAAACCGAAATAATACTACGCGTAGTAAATAATTCGCGGCAGGAGACAGCACCGACAAGAAAGAGCGAAGAAACTATGTCGCGTTACGTCGCGCGTTACGTATGAAATCGTAACAACGCGGAGCCACGGACGAAACCGGACGGATCGGCTAATCGAGTCGCGTGCGCGCCGAGAGGACTCGTGTCATGTGCGAGCTCTCGTCGCACAAGGGCAGAGCAATATGTCGTATTATTAGATTATTTATTATTAGATTCCTCATTAGACTCGTCGTATGAAAATAAATTACGTTCTCATGAGCGCGAGAGTATACATGCAGAGCACGGGGTCTCGCGTAATATACTCGCTCGCGAATTCAGCGCGCGACGCTCTCCCCGAAAAATGAAGAGAAGATTCCCCGCTGTTGCTTATCCGCCTGAAAGACTCGGCCGAGGGACTCGCGGTCTCATTAAAAATCCCTTCAAAGCGTTATTTCTAGCCTTTCAAGAATACCCTAAGTACTCCCTTGCTCTCGTCTATCGGAGCTCCGGCAGAAGGGAGAGAATCGCGAGAGCCTCGGGAGATTGCGCGTGACGCGAGGAAGGTGCGAACACGGTCGTGAGAGGTGATAATTTCCGTCATCATCGTCCTCCTCGAGCCTCGATCGCTGTCAGGGAAGCAAACGCGTTAAAGCGCGTACCGAGACTCATTTGCCGCTTGCCGGCTTTGGCCTGCTCCACGAGCTTCCTGTAGACTTCGTCCAGGGGATGCTCCCAAGAAGTGTAACCGGTAGATGCCTGGTAGTAATACCAGGCTCCGGAGGCCTCGTGGAAACACGGAGACCAGCCCTTGGGCAGGGCCGCCATGAGACCCTCGCGGGCCAGGTCGAGAAGGTGTGGTTCTTCATCGGGATCAATTCCCAGACGTTTCGCATAATCTAACAGTTCTGCAAACACATAATCGCCCGTTAATTATTTCTGCCGTTTAAGTAACCGGTTAATATGCCGGTTAACCTTCGGCTATTCGCATTCCAAACTACAACGAACTCTTGCGTCAATCTGAGAGATATCGTGGATGGAGATAATAGGCAGGTTCTAATTAAAGCAGATTAATTATTTCAATTTTTATGAAAATGGGATAATTTGACGATAATTAGGAATTTAAGAAAAATTTTGTAAAGACCTTCGCGTCGCTTTGGCAGACTTTATTTAATGGATGACGATAATAGAACCTTTAATTAAAGTAGATTAATTATTTCAATTTTCATTAAAAATGGGATACTTTGGAGATAATTAGGAATTTAAGAGAAATTTTGTAAAGATTTTCACGTCGGCTAGGAAGACTCTATTTAATAGATGGCGACGATCATAGAACTTTTAATTAAAGCAAATTAATTATTTCAATTTTTCAGAGATAGGATACTTTTACGATAATTAGAAACTTAAGAACAATTTTGTAAAGATTTTCTTGTCAGTTTGGGAGGCCAAGTAACGGAGAGTTATACCATTATGAAATGAATGAGGAATCCTTGCTGGTTGACAAGTTGGGGATTATTTTGGGAACGTCAGTGATTGATGAGGCCGAACTGAGAGGAAGAATTATCACTTACTGTTTTTCATTGCGATTGCTACGTTCCTGCACTTTTTCAGGAGTAATTTCCGCTAATGAGTCGTGTATGGATTGGGACTTTTGCTGGCGAAAAGAGATACGCCGACGAAATATGACCCGCGGTTTTACAACGGCCACGTATGTAGGTTTTTTAAATGGACAGAGATAACGTTTAAGAGGTAATTTTCTCGCTCCTCGTGAATCCTTTTATGTTTTCGTGTCTTCTTAATTAATAGCGCGGTGGAAAAATGTTCGTCCAGTCCGAGAAATAACGTAATCACCTGAGCCGGAAGAGAATATTTTTATCCGGCTGTACGCGCGTTTTATTAATAATACCCTTGTATAAACTTTAAAGGCTCGGAAGTGAATCTCCACGTCTTACTGTGCCGTGCTCGCGTAAATCGTATAATTCATTGATCACGGTTAACCCGGTTAAAAGTATTAAAGCGCGCGTAGTCCCGTACTTAGCTACTTCATCCTATGGAAAATGCGACAAGATACGCTTACGGCCATTTAACGCGCTCGCCGTTGAGACAAGGATGTTGCGGTGTATAACATTACCTTCGCATATCACCAGAGCAAAATGAAAAAAAGAGTACGCGTATCGATTGATGATTAATTTTAATGACTGATTAGCGCGCCTCTCAACTAGGTCGTCCGGAGAGAAAAAGGGCGCACTCTTCAGTACTCTTGTTTCGCTTCGTCAAAACTCTCACGGCAATCACGGGGTGTGAATCGACGGGAAACCTCGTTACTCATTTATCGACCACGAGTAGACGTTGTTTCTCTCGAGCACACGAAATTCCCGAGCTGCACGGAGTCACGTCAACACGGTAGATTAAAAGCACTTGCTGTATACGCGAAGTGATGTCATAAGCGAAGGTACTAAAATTAGATATGCGTAATATCGTCTCGCGAGAAAGGTGAGTTTCTCTCGTAAAGAATAATTCGACCGGTATCGCGTCAAACCCGCCCGCGCATAACGCGCCGCGCATTTGGAACGGCACTCGGAGTCATTTTTTTTTCACCCTACTTTCTTGTTTCTGGAATAATTGAAACGGGTCAGGATTTTCAGTCGCATTTGCAGCAATTTGCCGCGGCGCCGGTGAAGATATTTCGCATTATCGATTTTTCATTTTACGGTCAAAAGCGCGGAATTCGATTTTGCGCGACAACGAGGCTGCCAAAAATGTGCGGGCAATTCTATTTTTTACGAACGAGAATGAAGGGATCATGGGGAGTCAAGAGAAGGCCAATTCTTTGAGCGTAATAACAATCCATCGACACGTTTCGGTCGAAAAACCTGTCGTTGTATTGCGAGAATGAAAATAAGATCTCCAAGGAGATAGATAGATTATCGGGGTTCCACAACGCCCCGATTTCGCTCTCCATCTCGCCCGCGGATGGCACACATTCAACCCTTTCCACGACGTCGGCGGGCTACCGTCCAACAGCCACCCCCTTCCGCCCCGCGAGCACCCATCCGCAGTAATTAGAAGCGGTCAAAAACTCCAACGGTAGACGGGGAAGTGGCCGGTAGCTCTGCGGTCAAGCGCCGCGGGGAGGTCACGAGGTGAATACGTCGAATTTGCGGCTCCTCGTCAAGGCCGGGCCTTTCCCGGGTATCGCGCGCCCATAAGAAGCGTGCGAGATCGCGGAGAGCTATCCAAGGGGTCTCGCTCAAAAATTCCATCAGCTGCACACCTGGACAGGTGGTGCGCGGCCAACGGTAACATTAGTAGCAGCAGTAACGTTGCTGTTGCCGCTACTACCACTGTTGCTGGCGGTGGTGGCGGCGGTGGTGGTCGACGTATGGGGGCAAGTCGAGTCCACCATCTGTCCCGGCGGACAAAGTGTTGGTCGAACCCGATCCTCGAACGCGCGATCGATCGCGCTGTGCACGCAGCCACCGCGAGGACGAGGTCAGGATTGCGGGATGTCCAGCTGCAAGGGATGCCCCGGGGCGGCAAAACATCGCCGACCCTCCGAATCCCGTCGGCTCCGCCGTGGCGACGGTGACGGCGGGGAAGGAGCGCCTCGGCGGGCAAGGTGTAGGCTCGCCGACGCGGCCGCGCTGCCGCCCGGTGCCGTGACAAAACTTTCGCCGCACTGCGGACCCTATTGATTTTCCGGAGCGTCGGGGAACGGGCGCTCTCCGCTGCTCCCGCTTGGCGCGGTGTAAATAAACAAGGAAACTCGCCGCCGGCTTTCTTTTACACACCTTGGCCGGCGAGCCATCCTGAAAACGACCGACGACACCTGTTTACACCTGCTTTTTTGCGCGATCTCGCGGCTTCTACCGCGCTGGTCGTTTCGTTGTGAACGCTCGCGATCTGACGAGGTCGCGGAGTTGTTTCCAGGCTCGAGAGCGATTGTTCAGGACGCGTTTCCTGCTCTCATTGATTGAGGGGTTCGCGAAACTCAGGGGACGATTGCTTGGTCTTATGTGGGAGCGCGTCATCTCGTACGACTGCCTGGTCGAATAGAGGCGCGTGTTAGAGAATTTATTGATACGGGCGATACATGTGACACGGGCATTTGTGCGAAGAGAGCAGAGACACGACGAAGCAGAGAGGAATCGAATAGGTGCGCTCCATCTCGCAGGCACAGATGAAATCGCGGAGAAACGGCCGGACAAAAAACGGCGCGTCCATGGTCGAGGAACGTGGCCGCGTCGATGTTGCACCCGATCATTTGCATCGTGACCTAAATACGATAACGCCGCCGTGGGACAGCCGGGCTTTGTCGCCTAATTTTACACAGAGCGCTCTAATAACGTCGGTGCGCCAATTAATTCTCTATCTTGCTCCCTCTCGCGCGCGTAACGTAGCGCGCGATTCTCGCATTTCCGAACGCGTCGCGACGGCCGGCTGACAAAGCGCGTCAATTGCTATGTCCACGTGGAATTGTCCGAAGGACACTGGGAATCAGCTATTACGGGAGGAGGAAATGATAGGACATCGAT